GTGCTTGACTAAAGTCAATGCATGCAATAGAACAATATAAGTTTAATAATTGATATGTAAGCTATATAAGGATAGAATATAAAATAGGTTCAGCTCGAAAGCTGTGTCGGAGTCAGATTTGGGTCTGTACCCCTGATTTCAGAGCTCTCAATAAAAGCACCTGCATGGAATCACATCCCGTGGTTCTGTGTGTTCCTGCACGCTGACAGAGGGGCCACAGCCTCCTCACAGCCACCAAAGTGCAAATTCCACCACAGATCAGCAGCAGCAGAAAGAACAAAGTGCCATTTTGTAGCTTTTGCCTCTCTCTGGAGGCTTGTATTAAGGAATTCTAAATGGATTACACAACTTAAGACATTTAAAGCAATCTTCACTTCTGAATTGGTTTAACTACAGCCAGAAATTCTTAAATGCTTTAATTTCTTTAATAAGCAACAGCCCATGAGAGTTATTTGGACTGTTCTTTCATTTTGCCCTTGATACTTACACTTCAGGGAGAGGAGCAGAGCCTTAAAATGCAAGCCATACAGAAAAGCTGTTTAATGGAGATTCCAAATTATAACTTCAAAACGTAGCTCCAGAATGCAGAACAACCACAGCTCTCTACAGCATTTATTACACGCAGACAGGGACTAAAAAAACCCCTCAAAGCCTTCACAGACTGGGAGAATTCACTGAGCCATTCTGCAGGGTGTGAGGCAATCCAGAATCTTAGCAAGGCTCCAGAAGGAGCCCTTGGAGAAATTGCTGCTTGGAACTGCAGCACCAGCAGCACCTCTGAGGTTTGTGCCTTCCACCACTCATCTGCCAGATTGGGCAAAATCTGCTTCAGCAATTTCCTTTTTTTTTTTTTTGGTGCTGCAACAAACTATAAAACTTTTGTCTGACAGAAAAACGGCTGCTGCTTATGAGCATGTTTTAAATTGCTGTACTTCAAAGTGACAGTGGCACAGGATGCTTTAAAATATTTCCCCCATTCTAAAATGATGCCATTAAATCACAGTGAAGTACCTGTATAAAATCTCCAAATTAATATTTTATTACAGTATTTGTAATAAAAAGTACACACAGATTTGCATTCCCCAGTGTTTCGATTGCTAATGGCCTTTCTAGAGAGGTGCCTCCACCCTCAGAACCATATGCTTGCAAATTAATTAAATGAATTTCAATGTCCAAGTGAGTGACAAATCTATGCTGGTGATATTGGTATTTTTCAGTTCATTGCACAGACCTAATTCACCCCCACAAGGCACCTTTCACTTGATTTCACTTTCAACACCACTTTGAAAGAACTATCAAGTGGCACACCTTGATACCAGCAATGAACTCAGTGTGTTAAATGCTCAAAAAAGCACTTGTTATTACTGAAAGAGACTAAAAAATACAGATATTTCTATTAAATATATCCCACTTTCCCAGTTAATCTCAATTTGCTGCGACTCTGCACAGCCCAGTGAGTGCCACTGCTGGCAGCCCGAGCAGGTAGCAGGATGTGATATCCAACAGATGAAGACACAGCTATGGCTGATGTTTGTGTTTTATTATTTACAGGCACAATGGTTAAATCACAAACTGGGACGTAAAACTGCTCCTCTTAGTATCTAAAATTAAGCTGCTGTTATAAAACACATGGCTAACTTATTTTAATCATCTTAATTTTGTGTGTTACCCTATTTCACTTTTATGATTTCTGAGAGGCTTGACACTCAGTTGAGCCTTAACTTTAAAAACATATTTATTTTCTGAGTCATACTTTTAACCACATGGCTGTCTAGAAATACCTGACTTGTAAGGCACCTCTTGGTTTTGTTTGGAAATTTGACTGAGGCCCAAAATGGGATGGGAATAACATCCCATAATGAGTGGGATAACAAGTGAAGTGAAGGTGCCAATAGAACTGGGTCTGGTTGCAAAGGACAGGGAAAAGGGGGAAAAGAAAAGAAAGGGGGGGGAAAAAAGGGAAGGGAAGGGGAAAAGGAAAGGGAAGGGGAAAACGAAAGGGAAGGGGAAAGAAGGGGGGAAAGGAAAGAAGGGGGAAAGGAAAGAAAGGGGGAAAAGGAAAGAAAAGGGGAAAAGAAAAGAAAAGAAAGGGGGAAAAGGAAATCACTGACATCAAACCATGCACTGCATCACAGCCCTGTGAGTTTTGATTGGTTTTCCTTACACAGTCTGCTTCCAGGAAGAATAAATTATTTCCAATGATCTCTAGATAGTTAATCACTTTGACCTTTGCTTGTATTTTCCAGAATGAAACTGTTTCCTAATTTATTTTTACTTTTCATAAAGCTGCAGGTTGATCTTCCATCTTTAAAAAGATCAACTATTTTATTATACCTAATATCAGATTATTGAAGATTTTAGTACATGCATGGGGAGTTCATCTAATCCCATTGGCCTTTTCATATTAAAATCCAGTTTTATGCTTTATCTCCTCTTTGTTAAAAAGTAAAATATAAAAAATTAAAAAAAAAAAAATCAGTCATTGTTCAGATGCTGGTTCCTTATTCTTATACGAAAATTAAGCAGAACAGGATTTTTTTTCCTTTACATGGAAGTGAGAATATGAATCCAAGATTGCAAAGAAGTTGCAGATGCCAAATGCAGCATTTGGAAGGTTATGCACAGTTCAGACTACGAGGCTGCCTCCTGACTAAAAAATACCAGCATCCATCTCAAGTAATGACACTCACCTGCCTGGCTCATAGTTCCTTATTTAAAATTCATGCAGAGATAATAGTTGCTGGTAGATTTCTTCCAATTTTATGAATAACTGATGCCAGCATCCTCATATCCAGCCAATTTATTCCAAAAAGAGGCTTCCCACAGGAAAAATAAACCCAACTGTCCATCCCCAAAAAAGCACCAAACAATAAATGGGAAGTGCAGATCTCCTCCATGCAAAGCACTTCCCCTTCCTACACAGAAAAGCAGCACGTGTGGCAGAGCAGATGAACATTACAATTAACCAACCCCCAGAAGCACCATGGGGAGCAGTTGAGGCAACTTGCACAAATCCCATTTATTTTGCCAAAAATCTGCCTTGCTCCAGAAAGCAAAGAAGGGTTGAAAGAGAAGATTTGGTCATTAAAAATGAACAGGAATTTCTGCTCTGCTAGAAGCCAGTGCTGTTTATAGGAAATGCAGCTTTTATCTTACAGAATGCAACAAATTTAACTGCAATAAAATCTTTTTCATATGTATTCTAAGCATCAGAATTATTAGAGGCTTTGCTCCCATTAATATGTTTTCTCTGTTTAGGATGCTACAGCTTAACTAAACTTTACTGACTATTCCAGTTTAATTCCTCAAGTCAACTTACAGAACATCAGAGGCTTTGAAGCAAACTATAAAAATCTCAAAGCTGCAAGGTCAAGTGTCACCCACAGAAGAAAATTCATAAAAGATCATCAAAAGTGCCTGGTAAACCAGAAGACTTTACAAAGAAAGGAAGAAAAAGATGAAAAGTCACCTCCAGAAAAGAATTATCAAGTGGCAGAAAACATTTCTGGCATTTAGATAAGATGCTAAACTGCTACTTGCATAAATAAATTAATTAATATGTTAGCCCACAGAATATCCTGAGCTGGAGAGGACTCACAAGGATGACTGAGCCCTGCACAGACACCCCAAAAAACCCAAATCAGCCCCATTTTGTCCAGAGGCACTCAGAGAATGATCAGCAGCAAAGTGAGGCAGGGACACGTTTAATCCACACAAATAAAACACAGGTTATGTGCAGGAAAAAACCAAAAGGTGCATGCAAAGTTTGAGAAACAGCACAAAATAAAAAAAAAAAAAAAAAAAAGATAAAAGTATGAAAAAGACAGACACACAAAAGTGTGAAGCAGTGTGAGGTGAAACCATGGCAGAGCTGGGCTGATGGATGAACTTCCCCAGCTCCTTGGGGACACGAGAGCTCTGCTCCCCGCAGCCAGGAGAACACAAACTGAGAGCAAATGATGAACTAATTAATAAAGTATCCAACAGCTAATCACTGCTCTGAACAGAGATATTGACTGATAACACTGGAGAAAAGGAGACAAAAATTGCCAGGAGAAAACCTGGACAGGGCTGTTGGAAATGTGCATCCAACTACTACTGCCCTCTATTTCCCTTCATGTTCTCGTGCTCACCCAGGTATTTATATTTATATTATTTATATTTATATTAATTATATTTATATTATTTATATTTATATTATTTATATTTATATTTTGTATTGTTATAATTATATGTTTATATTTATCTTCTGATTAAATGAGCAAATTAAAAGTTTGTGTTATCTTCATCTACCACCTACTTCTGCCTCAGCAGAAAACAGCAACAAGGGTGCCAAGCAGCACAGCCTGTGCCACATGAGAATGTGTCCAACAGATGAGTTCAGCTACCACGTCCCCAGCCTGGCCTGCTGGCCAACCAAAAATAATCATTAATTGTGGCCTGTGCAGTACAACTACCCTAGATCTACTCATATGCAGCCTGGGGTTTTTCCAGAGCAAGCTGTTTATTTGCATAAATAATAAATATTCATATTTATTACAGATAATTTTATATTTTATATATTGATGCATTTTCTATTTCTATATTTTATACATAAATAAATATATCTATTTGCATAAATGATAACAAATAAATAGCATAGCTATTTGCTGTTCTCTCCCAGGTGTGGAAATGAGGAACTCTGTGTGTGAAGGCTCCTTGCACACCCAGAGCTCACTCTTCAGAGGTTTGATGGGACACTCAGCACCACCCCTGCACTGCTGCCACAGCACCTCACTGAAATAAACTGGATTATTTTCATAGCCTGCTACAGAAGGAGTTGCTCTATTACTGGTTTTCCCTCCTGACTTCTCAGCTCGATAAATACCAGAAAAGCAGAATCCACGTGGATTATCAGTGCTTGCAGGTTGCATAATCCCACAATCCCAGATGAAATGCTGCAAGTATTTCATGTCAAAGCAAACAACTCCTGTCTTTAGGTGCTTGGTCTGTTTGCTTACCTTTGCTTGCACTCTCAACGTGCTGCAGTTCATCTGGGAATTTTAAGATGTCCCGGTAATTCTCCTCACAGATTTCTGCCAGAAAATGCAGCAGGGTGGTTTTCTGATCTGATGATTTTGTATCTCGGATCTAAAAAGTGAACACAGGAGAAAACAAAAAGGAAAAAAAATAAATTTCTTAAAATATTTCAATAATGGGTTGCCTGCAAATAAACAGATTATTTAAAAAATTAAATTTCTTGAATTCCTCATAATTTAGGACTACATAAGAAATCTACCCAATGACATCTTTTAAGAAAGAATGATTAATTTTGATGAGAACAAGATCTGAAGACAGTCCATAAAGTTCTGAGATTTTAGCACTGCCAGTTCAGAATCCCCCAGGTAAAAACCCTGTGTACAGAGATTCAACAGAACTGAAATTAGAGCATTCCTTCAGTGCCATAAATGCCAAATCTCTGCAGGAATCCCTGAACTGCTGCATAGCTGGACACCATGCTAACAGCCAGAATTTGCATTTTGACCAAACTAAAGGATCTCCTTGTTTTAAAACAACTATTTTTTTTCTTGGAGCAAAATCTAAACCATGCTGTGTTAGGCTAAAGACTTGGAGACCAATTCTATAGAGATACACAAAATAAATGCACCCTGCCTTACCAGAATAGAGAATAACAAAAAAGCAAAGGTAATCCTGGCTGCAGCTAAAGGAAATGTAATGCATCCAGCTGCATTTATGAAAAGCTGCAGGAAAACTCTGCATAATAGGAAGTTACAGGTAAATGGATATTTTTGCTGTTTTTTCAACTGCAGAGGCATTTTTAGTGACCTGAAACTAATCAGTATTCTTGGAAGTGATAAGGCTCTGTTCTCCATTAGCCTGAATGCATGAACTGCTGAAATGAGAGTTTTTAGTTAAAAAAATAAAAATAAAAGTCTTGAACTAGTTATTAGAATAGAGGACCAGTGGCAATTTTCCAATAACTTTATGGCTAAATCCCATGGCACGGTGCACATGTCTAGACAAAGGAACATCATGAACTTAAGAGAATGAGAGAAGAAATTGAAGATGAAATTTCTGAGTCTGCCCGTTTTTGTGCAGATGTGAAGAAGGGATGTGTGAGCTGATGGAAGATCTGGCAGGAGCAGTGATTCCCTCTTATTCACAAAGGCACGACAGAGCAGGTGCACGTAAGAGTTTGAGAGGAGCACTCTTCACTTGACAGAGAATTAGTAATGCATCTGCGAAGAATTGTTTTAACAGAATTTTACTCATCTAGTACAGTTCTTACACAGAAGTAAGCTACAACATACACAACAAATGAAATAAAGGATTTATTTAAGAAGAATACATAATGCGTGTGTAAAATCTCCTATTTGTTTTCTCATTCTCTAAATCACTTGAAGTTCTAATTCTATAATCCTCATGACAGGCTTGCCATCGATGTTCAATTTAATAGAGGCCTTTCAGCTTTAAGGATTACCCTGTTAGGAATAAATGAGTGCAGTGGAAAAACAGGCTTTTAAAAATATAAGGTATTTAGGCAATTAAGAAAGCAATTTAATTCATACCAATTCAGCGATTAAAGACTAAACAATGCTCAGTAATGGTATGCAGTTAAAGGGCTTTAATGTGTTACATACACAGAAGTTCTTCTGACTTGAAAAAAAATAGTAGATTTACTGGCTAAACATCTGCATGGAAAAAAGAAATTGCATTTCAATTTGCCTGTGAACAACAGTAGTGGGATTTGCAGTCTTTGATCTCTCTGACATCATCAAGTGGATAAAGTACTTTTTTTCTAAATGGACAAAATTATTTTGCTTTCAAATTACAACAGGAACATGCTTTGCCACCAAGAGCAACATCACAACAAGAGTCAGCATTAGCACCTTGTAGAAAACATGTATTTAGATCTTGAACAAATGTATAAAATTCACTTCTTTGGCCCAATCATAAACAAGTCTCTGCTATATTAATCTTTAACACAATGGATGCAGATAGGCATGCTTGATATTTAGAATCAATATCTGTACTTTAAAAATCAAATCCTAAGCCCACTTGTGTAATGAAACTTGAGATAGGTGCTGTTTGAGTGTAGTTCAGCACATAATATTTAAATATAAAAATAGAAAAGGAAGGTAGGAACTGGGCAGGTGGCAGCTTGGTTGTGTCTGTATTCACACCCTGCACTTGTATTCAACATACACTCATATTCAATGTATGCTCATATTCAGTAACACACCCATTATTTATTTTTTTTTGCATATAAATGCAATACTTTTTATGTTCAGATTTTTACTTGCAGTAATTTTGCCCAATAGATATAACATTCCTTGGCTTGTAAAGAACCTAATGGCTTAGCCTGATTTCTGCTGCTCTACACACTCCAGCCAAGTGGATGAAAAGCAAAAAGAGCCTATTAAGTTGTGCTTACAAGACCAGGAGCTGGACTTTGATGAACCTCGTGGGTCCCCTCCAACTCAGAATATTTTATCATTCTATGATTCAGGATAAATTTTTAACACTGTGGTGTTCAAATTTTAAAATACAGGTTTTGAGTCTATTGCCTTTCTTTGCCCGAGAGACAGAATTTGGAAATAAATTCAGTTTAAAAATAAATGAAATAAATTGCCAGATCAGTGTGGGCTACAGAAAGCAGCTCCAGCTGAGTGCTGAAGCATTAATTTGAGGGTCAAAAGCACGAGATCCATTGCTTGGGAAAGGATTAACAGCCAAGGTACACAGAGCACAACACAGCACAACCACTCAAACCCAGAGAGACAGAGTAAGGTGTTTGATTCTGTAAGCCAGAAAAACACCACCAGAACAAAACTCTCCCTTGGCACAGAGCAAAGCATTTAACCCACACCAATCACACCATAACCCAGTGCCAGCATGGGGCTGGATTCTTTCTCCAGGTGCTTGTGGATGCAGCTCTCAGGTGTGAGGGTTAAACTGGCAGCCAACACAAGGAAAAAATTATGTACGAACCATCACTGGAGTGACACTTTATTATAGCTATAAAAAGGCTCTCTATTGATTTTTATGAGATTATAGACCTTCTCCTATCCTAGAAATCTTTCCCCCCTCCCAGAACAAGGGCTGCTGGACAATAAATGTCCCCTCATCAGTAATGCTCAGAGTGGATAAACAGCTTGTCTTGTTCTATTTGCACTATGGACAAAAAGCAGCGTAGCACCACTTAACAGATGAACACACATCGATCCAGCCAGAAGGCTGCAAAAGCTTCACTGGAACTGAGCCCTTGGTCCTCACCTGAATTCAGCACCACAGCACCAGCAGCTGTACCTGCACATCCCGAAAACAAACCTCTTCCCTTTCAGTTCCACTCCCACAGAGCAGAATTTGGGAACTCCTGCTGCACTGGGGGCTCAGAAAGCAGCTGGATCCTCTGGACGTATTAAACAGTAAACTTCACCTTTAGTGGATTACTGCAGCATCTCCCTCAGCTGAGCACTTTTCCTGCTGTATTTCTATTTTCACAGAGCATTCCATGCTCGGGCAGTGAAGATGCTCTGGTGCAGGCCCAGGAAGAGCTTCCCTCCCTGGCCAGTCATGATACATCCCAGGAATTCTGATGCTGATGTCTCTTATTTGAACAAAACTAAATTCTCTGCCTTCTGCCAAAAGTCGTTTACCTCTACAACCAAAGGTTGTAGATGATTCCTGTCTTCAATAACATAATACACTGCAATACAAAATCCAGAGATAATCTGTTTCTAAGGATTTGCAATTACTCCTCAGTCATTAGTCTTCTACCTCTGTCCAGGCAGGAAGGAGATGTGCTTTATTCTATCATGTTTAAATAAAAGTTTTATCCAAAACAGATCTCTGTGTATGAAATGACCAGCTCAGTAATAAAATTATTTTCCAAAAACAAATATTTATCCCAGATCAATACTTGCCTTTTTTCTTCTTTTTTCTTTTTTTTTCAGAGTGGATAATGTAAGTACTGCATCCAGTAAACAGACGATTAATTTTAAGATTGTTCAAGAAACAAGCAAAGAGAAAAAATCAATACAAAACTCTGGTTGCAATGAAAAGAATTAGGATTCTTCATCATCAAGTGTGTGTATTTTGCACATAGATTTGTGTACACAGACATCTTCCACCTCGCTGACAGCTGACTCAAAAAAATAATAAAATTCTATTATCATGGGCAGAAAGTCCACTAAATGATAGTCACTGGTCTAAAAAAGGAGTTATTATAACAAAATGCAAAATAAAGGCTTCCAAATTCTACTAGACAAGCTTGAAAGCTGAAATACATTCCTCAGGAGCAAAGAATAAAGATACCTACAAATTCCCCAAGGAATGTTGGGAATGCTCCCTGTGTACTTCCTGCCCATGACCAAACACAGAGGTGCAGTCAGTGTGATGAGCTAGCAAAGCATTTTGTTGAGATACATTTTGTTTGAATATGTCCATAGCTAAAGCAATTGCAAAAGCAATAAGTGTCTTAGGTTGAACTACCATTGGGGCTTTAAGTGGAAGAGCTACAACCATTGGAGTTTATTGAAATGACAGCTGGAAAAATCAATAGTCCAAGACTCGTATTGTTGTCTTTACCTATAATTAAAAATTCTTGTCTTTGTTGTGATTTGTTAATCAGACCTGTAGGTATAGATTGATAACAGAAATTTTCCAAAAGCCATGTGAATGGTGCACATGGCATGTCAGTGAGTGATGCCTGCCCTGCTTTGGGCTCTTCCTCCCGAGTGCTGAGTTTCACCTGGGGTTGCCGCTTACCTTGCACAGAAAGCTGATGTTGAAGCCCAGAGACTGGGCGTTCCTGGAGCCAGAGTTCATGTAGTTGCCCAGGAACAGCACCAGCTCCAGGAGCTTGCTGAAGCTCTCGCTCTTCTTGAGCTCCTCGCAGGCCAGGGTCACGGCCATGATGTCGGGTTTGATGTTGTTGACGTGCTCCTCGAACATCAGCCGGAACAGGATCCCGTTGAGGCGCGCGCGCAGCATCTTCACCGAGCTCATCTGCAAGGACACAGCAAACACAGCCCGCCAAACGCTGAGCCTCAGGAGAGCTCACCTTCAAACCCCTGTTTTGTGCTGTGCAGCCAGCAAACCCACAGCTCCTGCGTGTTTTCACTGCCTGCCCTGCATTTCCCAAGCACCGCTGTGCTTCAGACACTTGGCCAAAGACAGCACAGCACTCTTTCCTTCCTGCTCTGATTGAAACAGAAATTTTAAGGAATTTAGAGATTTTAGAGGAGCTAAGATTTTAGTTAGAAATAAGCCTTACTAGAGTTAATTAAAATAAATGAGTAGGCCTTGATGAAGTTAGGAGTTAGTAGTTAACTAATAATTGATTGCTTGTCAGCACAATGTTTGGTTAGCTGGGTTTATAATGAAGAATACACAAACTGACAAAGAGCTTTTAGGAACATAAGACAATTGTGGGCAATTGAAGATAAGGAATGGGAGTTCTACCAAGAGTTCATTTGTCACATTTGCATTGAAAAGGTAGAAAGGTCAGAACGAAGAAACCTTCATTGACTTCCTCATTTTGGGACCCCTCCCCATGGAAGGGACACCGACCCATTTCAAGGGACAAACCTCGCATGCTGAATGGCTTTTGGAGTGATTGGCATACGAAGTGAGGAATGGGATGTACCAAAATGATGAATATGGATTTGTATTTTGGGTATTCAATACTTGTATGGATAAAAAGACTCTGTAATCACCTGGAAGCTGCGGTGTGGATTTGGGAGTGATGCCACACACAATAAACACAGATATTCTAACTTTAAACTGTTAGAGAGTTTTTGTCCCTCATAGTTGGATATCAGTGCTAGATTAATATCCATATTTTTTAATAAATCATGATTACAGAAACTTGGCCAAAGACAGCACAGCACTCATTCCTTCCTGCTCTGATAAAAAGAAGGCAGGTTATAAATCCTGACCTTGTAACATGCCAAATGACAGAGACACTGAAAATAATCCACAATGCTGATTCGTTAATTTAAATCCCCAAGATCAAATTCACTAGCTAGGTAACAAAATATGGCTGTGTCTGTCGTATTTTGCACGAGTGATCAGAGTTATTTCCTCCCACTTAGCACACCATAACTCACAAGAGGGATTTAAATTAGTAAAAAAAGATGTACTGAGCATTGTTAAACCACTTGAAATTTTTAATTTAATTGCAAGAATGGTTATGTTGCAAATCTATCTCATTTTACTTAGCAGAACACAGGAAGATTTCTTCCCCAGTGTATTCACTATCAGGGGTGTTCCTGAAGCATTTAGCAAGAAAAACTTTGCTATGTGACAAATCACAGATCTTGGCCAGCAAAACAGGAAGATTTTGATGTGCTCCTGTCTCTGTTGGCCAAAATTTGGCCATGGTCCTTTAAAGAACCACAATTTTTCTAGCAGTGCTATCTCCCAACAGCTACCAGAAGCAGCAGCAATAACTTTCACAGGAAGGACTTGAGTGGCCTGAATAATAATGAATTCATTCTAAAATGAACATAAACATGAAGGCGCTCCAGATGGTCTCAAACAATTCCTATGATCAGGCTGGAACAAGGAAAAGGAAAGGATCAGAAAAGAAGCATTTCAGCAGAACTAGTGATCTTTTTTTATAAATCTCCATTGTCACAAATTTCTCTCTGAGCCTCTATAAGCCAAAATCATTGAAAGTCTTGAAACATTATTCTTCTAATCATCCTGCATTTCAGAAATATCATACTGAAAACATCTGCCTTGAAAGGACCTACTTACACTAATCTGCAGTAGATGGAAATTAAAATTAATCACATAATTTGCTTTAACTTTTGTAGAACAATCTCCAATTGCTGTTTTTACTCAAAATGGCACAGAAAAAAATTGTCGAAAGCTTTAGATCCCAAAACCAGAGTGCAACAAAACATGTACAAGCCCACAGGAGAGTGAGACAAACATTTGTGAAGAATAATCCTTAAACTTCAGAGAGGTGTCCTTTATTTAATACTGTGTAGTGTCATGGAACATTGATCATTTATTAGGTTTTGACCACCAACACAGCAGTAAGTTTTAATTCCATTCCCTGACCTACATAATATTTTAAAACTATCTTGATAATTTCCTAAGAGCTGTTTCATGTGGGTTGTTTCCTTAAAAGTAGAACATTTTTATACACATAAAAATGTGTAAATGTGTATATTCTACTGTATATTCTGTGTATTTTATACACATAAAAATGTGTATATTCTACTGTATATCCTACTGATGCCCTTTAGGCATCAGTAGAAGATGGCCACAAATACCATTTTAGTTCCTCCTGCCCCACCCTGCCCTGATTTCCCCTTTTTGTGGGCCTGTTCCTAAATCCACGTGTTCAGTGGCAGAGAAAGAGGGATCACATTCTGAACTTGGAGCAATCTCCTAGAACCAGGTAAGTAGCAAAGCCTACATTCACTTGGAAAGCTCAAATTCTTTATGGCTCTAAATAAAATTAGTGTCAAAAGCATGTAAGAAATGAAACATTACAAGAGCAAGCACTGGCTTCCCCTGCAAACAGTTAAAGAGGCAAGAAAATGGATATTTCTTTTCCAGCTGACTGTCAGTGATGGGCTGCATGTCATTATTTGCCCTTCTGGGCTCTCATAAAGGTCTTGTCTGAACTCTCTACCTAATCAAGTTCTTTATTCAGTTCTTTATGCTTTATTATCATCATTCAATTCTCAAGTCCTGTATTAAAACGAGGATCAAAGGCTATTGGAGAAAGGCAAAAAGCACAATTAAATTTGCCTCACTTCCTAAGAAAAAGCTGACATTCCTCTAATAAAAATTTGTCAACTTACTAAGGCAACTTAGCCTCTTACCTATGTTATATTAAAGTTTACTTTTTTTCCCCTGGAAACGTTCTAGGAAGATTAATTCTGCAGCAGCTCACAAAATTACAATGAGGCCAAACAAGCAGCCAATAAATTCAATTTAAAAGACTGACTGACTGTAAACCAATGGAGGTGCAATAAACTTGCACAATTCTCCCCACTTTGTCTGCCCCGAGCCAGGACTGCTCACGACAGGGTTACACAGGAAAAAAAGGGTCACAGGATATGCAAGTTTATACACCTCCTCAGCCAAATTTATGCTTTTGTGACACTAAAACCGTTCAGCTGGGAAGTGGAAATGCAGTTCCTTACTGGAGCTGCAGCTGTTCCCATATCACACACAAATGAACTCTGGAGCACAAGGTTTGCATGTGGAGCCCAGGTAAAACACTGCCCAGCTGGGGCAGTCACACAGCTGATTAGTTCATCTGTTTTTCTTGCTCTACTTCAACATCAGTGCAAACTTTCCTTTATAGGAAGTTGTGATGCCTTTTTGATCCCAGGATATAACTTCAAAAATTCCAATAACTAATTAGAATATATAATTGATTTTAACATTTCATCTAAATGAAAATGCAGTTCCAAATTTCATTTACATATCAGCTGAATTTTAAGTTAATTGGTTCCTTCAAATAAGTTAATCTTTTACTAAGTATGGCTTTTCTACATGAATTTTAAGTAACTTATTCCAGCCTTTATTAAATTTGATGGGCAAAGTGATTATCCAATTAACATATCTTAATAATTAACACACCTAAACCTACATAAAAATAAGGGGACACACATTAAATATTATTTAAGGTAGTCTGTCTTCTATTCCTAAAGCCAAGGTTAAGATGATTATTAATGAGAAACTCCAAAATTACTTTGACACATTGGAAAAAAGAACTTCAGTCACGAATTTAAGTTCAGCTGCATTTCTTCCACTTTAAAGGCCAGTTCCATGATATCATAATCAGAAACAAAGTCAGCATTTTAGCACCAGTGATGCAGTTAGAGGCCTCTAGAAATAAGACAGAAGCAGGACCCATAAGGCAAAGAACTGGTTTTTATTAAAGCAGATGGCAAAGCTGAATAAGCAAACAAGCTTCAGGAAACTTGGTTCCTTCGTAAGGCAAACAGCACCATTTGGAGATGTTTGATTAAGCAGTTTTTGCTAATTAATGTTGCATTAAATACTTGGAAACTCTCTCAACTTCCTCTAGTCAGTGTTTCCTCAGAAACACCAATCTGTGGAACAGTGCCCACACTGGGACTGCTGGAAATAAAGGAACTTGGATGGCTTTTCACTGACCACAGGAAAAGGCCAGGGTTGCTCCAGTTCCACTTTGGTTTTTCACTGACCAGAGGAAAAGGCTAGTTCCTGCAGTTCCACTTGGGTTTTACCTCCACCTTGCCTGCTTCCACTGAGCATTTCCCTTCAACACACTCCAAATATCCTCCCTACACAAAACCCAAGGAATTTCTCATTTTGACAAAAATTTCTCACTTCTGTCCCCCTAGGTATGGCCATAATAGATGTAAATATAAAACAATATATAATATATGCATATATCACGATACACATATTCATAGATAAGTTTTGATCTGTCTAAAGACATAATACATACGTTTATATTTTAAATATATGTGCATGCTACTATTGCTTCAAAGAAAGCAGCAAATATGTATTTATAGAGATTTTTAGCTTGTTACAGATCAATAAATGGCAATGTTTTACTTCTTGCAGCAAAGCTAAGTAATGTGTCCTACTTCTACTAAAATTCCTCATACTTGTTTGGAAATAAAAGATTTTTTTGAACTTTATGCCATTTATTAAAAAAAAAAAAAAAATCAATAGGCTAGAGTTTTTCAAAAGAAGCCATTGATATATTTAATTTTCTAAATCCTCTCCAAAAATCTCATTAGGACAAATAATATTCTGTTACTTCCCCAACTGAAAAATAATTTTTTAAAAAAAAGCACTCAAAAGGCACTTCTGAAGCCAAATTATGCTCAAATCAGAGCTTTTCAGTAAGAAAGTCTTTTAAGAGGCCTCTATTTCTGTTTTAATGCATTTTAATGTACATAATGCCTTAAAAATCCAGCAAGAGCAACCGTAGCTCCTGTGGAGCTGGGGATAAATCCTGAGCACGTTACAGAGGCTCTCAGCAACATTTTAATCTCCTGGGCTGAGGAAGGGAAGTGAAAACAGGAGCTCATTTGCCTAAAGACTCCCGAGGTCTTTGGAAGACCAGGAGCAGAAAGTGATTCCCAAGGGCTGGCCCAGAACTCAGAACTCAGAGTGCCACCCTCACCCCAGGCATGGATTAAAGAATTTCTGCAAATGCTGGAATTTCCTTCCAAGAGAGGCCCCAGCCATTCTGCTAGCCCTGCTCTTAAATAGATCCAGATTTCAATCAAGTTGATCTCATTTAGTTCATGGTATTCAAAGAAAGATGGAGCTCTGATTTATTTATTTCTCTCTATTGGTCCTAACTCACTGTATTTTTTTTTAAAATCAAAATAATGACATGCTTTACTTTTGAATAGCTTGCCAAACAGATATTTAGCTGAAAGGAGCAGAACACAAGCCACAATTTTAATTCTAGTATAAACTCACACCTCTCCTTGAGCCATTTTGCACGTTTGTGTTTGTATAAATACAGATGTTTTATATCTGTATGCATACATCCATATAAAATATAGATATGGACATAATAACTCTTTCAGCTGTTTACAGGTTTTGATACAAAACAAATTTATCAGAGTTCTCAATGTCAGGGGGTAAATGGATCTTCCATGGGCTCTTGGAAATTTATCTGCTTGAAGGCAGAGGGTCCTTCAAAATTGTTTAATAAACATCCAAGGCAAGAGAGGCAGACAAAGATTTGGTTGGCATGCTGCACTGTAATTCCTCCCTGAAAAGCAGCCAGAAGCACAGAACCAGAGGGGAGCACACAGGAAAGGACCTGAGGATGATCTGCCCCAGTCTGGCTGCTCACAGCCCTGCCCAGGCTGCCCTAATACAAATTAAAGATTCCTTGATTACTACTCATCAGGAAAGAGGAACTCTGTTTCCTACTGCAGGTCTCGCAAAAACACTAACAAAAAGATTTTGTTCCTAAATTTGTTTCTTTTTATGTGCCAAAAAGGAACTCTGCAGTTAATCAATCCTTGCACCAATACATACCACAACTCCAAATTGCTCTGGCTCGGCGAGATCGTTGTATTCATCTTTTAATTCAGCTAAGGCATTGAGTTCTTTCTGCTCAGGAAGATTCTTCACCAGGTTCTAAAATAAACAAGGCATTATATCAAATTTGTTACATTAAACTACCTAAGATATTAAAAATAACACACTTAAAATACCACAACATGGAAATGCACGAGGAAATTACGGGACGTTTATTTTATTTACGCAGCTTTAACATTATATAAACATCAAATCAAAGCAGCAATTATTTAATACAGACATCAACTGCTCTGCTGCAGTCTCTGATTTGAAGAATGTATTAAAAGGTTGCAGTATCATTTTTCAGGGTCTGACAGCATCAAGGAGTTTTGTCTCTCTACAATCTCCTTTTGCCCTAATGGTTGCATCTTGCTCATTAAATATCAATCATGAAATAACTGGTCTGTGTAAAACATGACAAAAGTAGCAAAAAAAAAAATTACAGTCATTAGACATTCAAAATATCTGTGCACAAAGTACACTTAAAAATACTTTACAAAGAAAAGGTCAAAACCCCAAAATTGTACAGATCTTTTGGATGGCAAATATACAGGAACTCAGGCAAAAGTTCAATTTGCTTATCTATGTCCCCAAAGAAAATTGTGAATTATTTTATGATCTTAAGGTGTCAATATACAGATATGATAATATTTCTATTAAGACTGAATAATATTACGTGTTAAGAAATACTCAATAGAAGTGTAGATTTGCATTTAAAATATAATATTTTTAAAACAATGCATTAAAATATTGCATTTTTAAAGTGTAGATTGTATTAAATATGTAATGTTTTCATATCTACACAAGTTGAAATCCAAGCAATAATGTATTTGTAGTAGAGGAGATCAATATGAAACTGCTCTGCACTTCAGCTATCCAAGGAGGGGTTGTTCCTTGATTTTTGATTTTACTAAACCTGAAGGTTTCTTAATCATCTGATCTGACATCTCTGATCAATAAACCAAGTCTTCAATAAAATTAGGGCTTTGCACCTATTCTCAAATATTGAGGACACTCAGTTTAGACCAGAGTCCCAGAATAACCATTTTGCAGGTCCAAAAAAGGAAGAAATTAATTTAGAAAACCTTGGGGGAATGGGTCAAAAGTACAAACAGGAGACGGGGATGGATGAAAGGATAAATCCAGGCCCAGTGTGGCAGCAGGGATTTGCAGGATTTCAGATTTGCAGGAATCTGAATCTGTGTATGATGTCAAATAAAACTCCAGCAGCACTGCTGGGCTGCCAAATCTCTGTGACTTTTGGGGTTTTGTGGCTCTCTGCTGCACTGTCACTCCTCAGAGGCTCTCCTGCTCTCCTCCTAAAGGGAGCAACTCACAGAGGGACCTACAGAAGTTCTATTCCATCCTTTCTACTCTCCAGCTGAGAGATTTGGGGCTCAAAATGAGACTAAACCAGCCTGAGAGGAGATTTGCAGAGAGGTTTGGAATTGCAGTGTCCTGAAAGGTTCAGGGAATTTCATCCCTCACTAGAGACAGGCAGAGCTGTTTCCACAAGAAACTTCATTATGCACCAGCCTGAATCATCTTCAGCTTCTCTTCAAAGCTGAAACACTAGGATTTTCAAAGATTTCCTTTTGAAAGGGGAAATTCCCAGGAATTCTTTTGTTAACTGTGGCTTTGAAAGGCAGTTTTAGTGCTACACGAGGCCATATTCAAAAGCAGAAGTGAAATCAATGGAACAGGAAACACAACTGATACCCTGCAGCTGATACCCTGTCCTGCTCTCAAATTCTTGCTCCTTCCTGCCATTTTCACATGGAAAAGGAGCTATAACCAAAAGCAGAGGCATTTTCACATACCTGAATCAAGGATTCACTCAGCTTCTCCTCATCAACCTCTAAAATGATATTTTTTATTTCTTCGTAAGGCAAACGGAAGGAACCCAAAAATATTGCTGAAATTCAGTAAAACATCATTAGAATCAAAAAGGTCAGAAAAGATTGATATACAAAGGCAAAGCATTTCTAGCAACCCAAAAAAAACACATCTTCATCTAAATTGTTTCACAGTTAAAAAGCCTCCTATATAAACAAATGCTAGATAGGCACACCATTGCAGTTTGACTTAGAATGAATTTCCTTTCTAAGAAATGAAATGATGACAACAATTTTAACTTTTAAATCAGCCTCAGTTGCTCCCTAGCAATGTTACTTCCCAATAAAGTTTTATCTTTATGAATGACATCTGCATTCCTACTTAAGCAGACCTCTCAGCCAATAATAGATCTCTTTATCCATTACTATTACTGCTTCCATAACCAGGTATGAATTGCTGTACAGCACTTACAATTGGGTCAATGATATTTATGTGATATTTCAGAAAAGATTTCCCATCAAAGTGGTAATGAAGAGCTGGGCAAAGTAAGAAAAATGCCCTAACACTACCACTTTTAGGTTAACTCAACTTGTACAAGAGACACACATAATGCAAACCCTTCAAAGATGGAGCTCTCAAAGCAATTTCATCTCAGAATGTTATAAAATCTCAAGAGAGCCCCATTCAGTAAACTACAAAGAATTCTTAACAGATGGATCAGCATAACGTTGTTAAAAAGTGCTTTATATTCAGCCTAACAACTACAGCTGATTATCCTGCATCCATGCTGTCAAAATCTGAAGTTTTCTATCAACTGTGTCATAGTTCATTTTCTGCTCGTGCATGTGGCACTAAACAATGTCCACATTTGGGTTTACACACTTATTTGCCATGGGCACAGTTGGACTAGTGACATTTGTGGTGTTTCTGATTCAAATCAAAGACTCTACTACTTTTGATGTTGGATTTCCCTCCATAATTAATAAGAAAGAAGCAAGCTGGGCTGGTTTTGTTACCATTTGTAGCAGCAGTGCCTGCACCTCTGCAGCCTATCTAGTAATATTTTCCCTTGAAACTCTAATTTTTCACTGCTCTGACCCAAGGAACAATCAGGAATGGCCTCCAAACCCCACTCACACCGTGCTCTGCCCAAATTAGTGATCATTTAATTGCACTTCCAGTCACGGGCAGTTAATTTTGTCAGTAAATTGAGGAAATTAACTGACAAAAACCCCAGTAACTCATTACATCACTTTTCCATGTAACTTTTTTTCATTTTTCCCAAATTATATGGTGAATTCAGAACGTGTATTTAAACACCACGGAATGGAAGGCTCATGTTCAAATCAGCAGTTTTTGGAAAAAGCAATTGCAGGTGTAAACAAAGAAAGATAATTTATGAACAGTGAGGTATAGATGCTACTTAGACATTGACATCCCGCCCTTCACATCACTTACATAAATTTTGTGCAGATTTTCCATCCAAAACTCTTAATTCTTTGATCTTCTTCTTTGACTGAGCTGCTTTCTTTTCTTCTGATTCTTCTACAGGCTTTTTGGCTGGAAAGAAGGTATTTATTAAATTCTATTCATTATTACAAGAGTTCCATCTTAGCTAACAGCAAGTCCATTAGCAAGCCATAATAATACATCTTGTACAATCAGTTCAAGGCCAAGTGACTGCACTGCCTGCACCTACTGTAAAATATCCAAACAAAGGAAATGTCCAAAACTGAAAGGAGCAAGAAATAAAAATATGACAATGAACAATTTTCCCAAGCACTATCAAATAATATTTATGTATTTTAACCCCATGAAATTTCACTTCAGCTCCAATTCATTGCAAGCATTTTTAAAAATACAGAGATTTGGTGTTACCTCGAAGCACATGAGTGCCCTCTATTGAAATATTAATAATATTTGTAAGTTCTTCATCCAAAGCCAACAACAGAAATCATTTGATATCTATCGCACTGAACAAAGGTATGATTTCATTAATTATTTATGTTGTCAGTAGTAAAGAGCAAAACTAAGAAAACAGTGTATATTTGAAAGTGATTTATTTTAAATTAGCAAGATTCACTAGTTTCATATTCAGCACTTTAAATTATATGGAAAGAAATGTGGCATTGGAGTACCTAAAATATAAGCTGATTTTTTGCATAATTTAAAACAGTCAATTTTTGCAGAATTTTCTTAAGTATTAAGTAAACCCATTAACAAGGATTTATTTCCTTTTAAATATCCCATAACATATTTGGCACTGAAGGAATAGAATCTTAATGTGCTTAACATTAATTGAACTTAATGAATATTTTAAGTCATTCAAAAGTAACTGAAAACCTGGAAAGTCAAATTAAGATGAAGTTTCAAGCAGGCTGAATACAGTTTTGTTCTCTGAGCACTATTTTTTGTTGCACTGTAATGAGCCATCATGGGTTTAATTGCAGGTATTTCTTAAGGAAAAAATGTTAATTTTCAGTGTGAAGCGTAGCATAAAACCTCAGTTTCAATCTTTTTAATAATAATAAAAAAAAAATAATGTAGAAACAAGGTATTTGTCTCCTTACATCCATTACCACCAGGAAAACATCTGGCACAAAGGAATTCTGCTGGGTTTGTAGCCCTGAATAATCAGTTTCTCTTGGCCATGCTCATGCCAGCACTAACTGAGCCGGTACCAGGCAGTGCCCTCAGCCCCAGCTACCTCTAAAGAGCCTGAATCAGAGAAAAGTGAATAAAAAATGATCCAACACCAAAGCAACACTCGCTCTCCCCTTGCCTTCCCTCCCCTGCACCACCAGCAGCCACCCCCAGCACTGACCCCAGCTGCACCCAGCTCCTTCTAAAACCCCAAAGTGCCTCTTCAGCCACTAATCAGGCCCTCAGCACTAATTGCTCTCAATTAAACCAGGAAATAACACCAGGTGCTCAACAACACAAACAAAAAACCACCCAAGAGTTAAAAATTAGCTGTCCCATGGGGAGGCAACAAACATTTTGAGTTCTGTTCTGTACAGCACAGAGAAAGGCTGGGCTTGTGTCTGCTGAGACAGATGAGGAGTGATTCAAGAACATGAGTGACCCACTGCAAACTCCAGAAGATGAGTGACCCATTGCAAACTCCAGAAGATGAGTGACCCATTGCAAACTGCAGAAGATGAGTGACCCACTGCAAACTCCAGAAGATGAGTGACCCATTGCAAACTCGAGAAGATGAGTGACCCACTGCAAACTTGATCAGTCCAAGAGTCAAACCTCCAAAGCATGCCCACCCCAAACAGGGTCCCAGGCTGCTCTCAGGACTGGGAGCACCAAGGACAAACCTGCATAAAACACACACCCAGCTCCTTGGCTTGCAGACTGCACAAGTAACAGTTTAAAATAAAACAAAGGTAATAAATGTTTTTGTTACCAAATATCACCTCCCAGAAAGGAAAGTTTCTTCCTACAGTGGTAATTCACACCAGTCAGAAAGAGTAAGTGACAAACCTCTGCGAGAAGTTCAAGGGCAATGCAAAACAGGTATGAAGTGATTCAGCTGCTACAGTATCAAAAAAGGAGAAGTGGTTTGGGGTCTAAACACAATATTTGATAAGCAGACATGCAGAGGGTGCGCTGAGGAAGAATTCACAACAGGAACTCTGCCTGTACAGGGCACAGGAGGAGTTTCCTTCATCACCTTCCCCACCTGTGTGCAGGTGCACTCCTCTGCTGCCTGTAAAATCAGGAGCTACATTTAAACCACAGCAGATCACACATTCCAAAGGTAACAAACCACAGCTACTCTGACCTATTGGGGCCTGAAGGGCTGCAACACCACTGCTTACAGATTATCCATTTAACAAACATCAGATATCTGGGGTAGATTCATTTTTTCTACTTGAAAAGAGCCACAGGAAATGTTCTTTCCAGAAAGTTCTCTCTTCCCACACATGAGACTACAAAGTTCACTTCATGCCAATTCCCAAAAACCAGAGAAACACTAGAACCAGATGCTTGTGTGACTGCAGTAAAGTCACAATACAGCATCAACACCCATCTTACCAAGGCCAAATTCACAGACAGAAAGAGACACTAGTAAAATTTCTAGGTGGGACAGCTCCTGGGATCTCTCCAGCACTGCTTGAGATGACATGGAGCATCAGAGAACTCTCCAAAGATCATCTCTCTTCTACCAGAGGCTCTGCTCACACAACCCATTTCAGCAGTGACTCAACTGTAACACAACCACGGATTAGGGAATTTGGAAAAACAATTAACTCAATTAAAAAGATTCTTGATACTTTCCAGAAGTCAATGCACCATTGCTGACCAACCTCCTGCCCCCCGTCAGGCTCTCCTTTCACAAGTGCCTGTTCAAAGACAAGACACTTTTTGGTTTGATGCCACAGAACCAAAGGGAGAGATGAAAGAAGGATTTTATAGCAGACAGCACAGGGCAGCTCAGAAAAGCAAGATGAAAAATCAATCTGGAAGCTACAGCAGCTGTATTACTTCATACAGACCTTGGAGTTGAGTGCTGTGATTATTCATTACAGCACTTTGATAATGGTACTGGCTCAGATCTTCATTCAAAATCAGCTTTTTTCCAAAGCAACCAGTCTTACAGCCAGCACCAAGAGCTGGTGCTGCCATACCCAGGTTTCCATGCCAGAAATGGTCAAAGTTTAAAAGCAAAGGTGGAGCAGAGGGGAATGTTCCATGTTCCTTACTCTCTGAGCACTGCTGCTGCAGCAGCAGAACACTGGAGAACAGGTCAGCTCGGGTGTGGAGCAGGGGATGTGTGCTGGGGGAGCAGGGGATGTGTGCTGGGGGAGCAGGAGATGTGTGCTGGGGGGAGAGCTGCTGAACCCCTCATGCACAATTACCTCACATTATTTAGACCTGTAAAAGGCTTTGGGTGCCCTTTTCTTTATACTTGACCTCAGACAGAAGAGAGAAAGGGAAGGAGAGCCCGTGCCAGCTTCAGCACACACACAGAAACACCAACACTACAGAAGTAAAACTTTTCCCTAATTGAAAGCTCTATTAAGCTAGCAGTAATACATTTGTTTATCAGCGTTGGAGGGGAAAATCTGATGCAAGAAGCTGCAAGGCATTGTTTGCTGTTGAACTGACATTTCCCAGTGCATGGGCAGCTCCAGCTGTGCCTTCAGCTGGGAACTCACCTAATCCCACTGCAAGTGCCCTGCCTGAAACCCTCCAAACCCAGCCAGGGCGTACAAAACCCTAAACAAAACCTTATGCAAGCTTAAAACACATGAAGCAAGGCTAATGATAGTCATGGCAAAGAGCACACACTAACAGGTTGAAATACTTTAGAGACTTAATTAGGAAAAAATTCTACCATCAGTACTTTTGTACTTCTGTAGTAAAAAAAAAAAATGAAGCATACATTATTCTTGAAAATTATCATTTTACACCTGTTCATTAATTTAGCTACTGAATAACATTTGAAGTGGCCATGACTAGTTTTGTGAAATATCTATGGTTTTATTTAATATTGCAGCTGTTAAAACATTTTATTATAAGCTGAAATGTCCAGTTCATATGAATTTCCCATCTTTCTTTAAATTATCAATGAATAATTTTAATAAAGAATTAACAGCAAAAACTGTCAGTCATGAATACGATGAGGATGAAAATTAAAGGGAGCTTAAAAGGAGTACACTGAAATTACAGCATGGAGAAAGCAGATATTTAGGTGAACTTTAGCCTACCTTAACCTGAGCTTAAGTCTCCAATTTCTGTCAAGTCTGTTCACACAATGAACAAAAACATCCTTATATTGTCATGGGAAATGAAGGAGCAAATTCATCTTATTTCCATCTGCCAAGTGGCTTCTCAATTGCATTTACCAATATTTGGCAGTAGAAGTAAATATACAAAAGAAATTAACTGCTTTGTTATTGCCTCTACCTGAGAGAAGAGCTATGGCTACAGGAGTGTAGGAGAAAAAAATTAAGTGTACATACAGTTGCAATGGATGTGAACTATACACACAAGAGTAGACTTGAGCAGCTGAAAATAATAATTACATTGAATTTATCCCCCTCCCAAATAAACCTCCTGATGTGATATGCCTTGGTGGAAAAATGAAATAAAGAGCTAGGAATGCCACCAAAAGATTAGAAAGTAATTTGCAGCACAGAAGTGCAGCAAATTCTGTTGCAACACAATAAAACTTCTCCAAGTCTGGCTGAATTGATCATCTCGGAATGCTACAGAAAGTCTCCCATTGCTGGGCTGTTCCTGGAGGCACTCAGGAATGGAAATGAAAGTTGAACGAAGGGGGAGAAGGAGGCAAGTCAAACACAAAATAGTCTCAAATTTGCAGCTGTTCTCTTCCCTCAGCAATGGACCCCAGGGAATGGGGCAGGGAGCTGAGCTGGGGCACAGCCTGACCTTCCTGCAGCCACCTGCAGGAACAGGGGAACATCTGCAGGAACAGGGGAACATCTGCAGGAACATCTGCAGGAGCAGGGGAACACCTGCAGGAACAGGGGAACACCTGCAGGAACAAAGGAACACCTGCAGGAACAGGGGAACACCCGCAG